TGATATTTAATAAATCTAACATATGTATGAAATAAAAACAGAAATATTGAAATGTGCAATCGAAACTTCATTTATAATGTAACAAATCTAGTCTGGCAATAACATCGTACAACATGGCAACACGGCAACACGGCGAGTTGGCAAGAAAGGAGAAAATTACAAAACAGAAGAAAAGAAGATGTCTGCTGCTAGTCGGAGAGTAGTTGAGTTGTTGACAATCCCGCGATTCGAACGGAAGCCCAAAGATAATTTGTAAACCATACATAAGTTCATAAATATTTTTAATTTAATAATTTTAGTTATATTTATATATATTACGATTAATAAAAACGTAACAATTGGTGTCAGAAGTGGGATTGTCAACAAACTGTGTTAAAAATGGTTAAATTGGCTGATTTAAAAATTCCACAATTGAAGAACGAGCTACAAGCACGTAATTTAGCTATTGATGGATCAAAGGCAAATTTACAAAGTCGACTACGCGATGCAATGGAGGCAGAGGGTATAGACGCAGACGAATTTGATTTCGAAGTTCCAGAAAGCTCCTCTAAGACAGAGTTAAAATCGACACAAGCAGATTCTTCACTAAAACTAGATACGAATGCGATATTAGCTGCCATTAAACAAATGAGTACAGAGAACTCAACAGCAATGTCACAAATGTCGGTTCAGCTGCGAGAAAATTCATCTCAAATGGAGGCACGATTTATGCAGCTGCAAGAACAGTTAACAAGTGATAATGCGCAAATACGCCAACAAGTGGAAAAGTTTGAAGATAAGCTACGGGATCTGAAGAGGGACGAAGAGGAGCTTAAATCCGAAGTGCTACAACTAAGCAGTCGTGTTCGTGATTTACAAGTACATAGCATAGCAGCACCAATATGCGCTCCAAAGCACAAAGCTCCAATGTTTGACGGAAGTGTCCCATTGCAAATATTTAAGCTTCAATTCGAAAAAACAGCGGTGGCTAATAATTGGAATACCGAAGATAAAGTAGCTGCGTTATTTATTTCGTTGAAAGGTTCCGCAGCAGAAATATTACAAACCATACCCCAGTATGAAAGAGAAAATTATGATACCTTGATGTCCGCATTAGAAAGGCGATTTGGAAGTCAACACAGGCAACAAATATACCAAATCGAACTACAAAATCGATGCCAAAACTCAGGTGAGACTCTCCAGAATTTCGCAGCTGATGTTGAGAGATTGGCACATTTAGCAAATGCAGATGCATCGGTAGACTATATCGAACGCGTAAAAATACAAAGCTTCATTAATGGTATACGAGACGTAGATACTAAACGTGCGGCACTTGTACTGCCTAAAAGAACATTCGCTGAAACGGTGTCACATGCGCTTACTCAAGAAACCGCATCACTTGCCACTAAGCCCATTCACAAGGTTCATAAAATGGAATTGGAAGAATCAGCAGTTGTAGAAAGAATTGTCACGGCAATTAAAGACACATTGGTGCCTTTTACCAAAACGACGGGTAAATGCTATAATTGTGGAAAACAGGGCCATTTTGCACGCAATTGTCGAGTTCAGCGAAACCGCTCTAATGCCGAACCAGCAAGAAGCAGCGCTGGAGATGAGGATAAGCAATTCTTACCCAACTCGTTAAACTAAAACGAACCAGTTCCAAGGGGCGGAAACTGGTTCCTACAACTATTGGCCCCACAGTATCAATCTCACAAATTAGTCGCCACAAAACAAATATTACAGTTAACGGAACTGTCAACGATCGTCCATTAATGCTAACTCTCGATACTGGTGCGTCGCATTCAATCATTCGCCGTAACATAATAAAGGGAAAGATAGAAACTTTGTCTGGTTACAAACTGCGAACAGCAACTGGAGAAGAAGCTACTATTGCTGGTAAAATGTCTTGCGAGACTCGGATGGGCACTATGGCGGTCAATCACACCTTTATTGTGGCCGACATCATGGACGACGTAATAATAGGACTGGACTTTATGTCTAAACACGGAGTGATGTTAGACTTAAAGAAGAAAATACTATCTTGCGGAAATATGGAAATGCCACTAAATACTGGATATGAAACTAGTGTAGAGGTCAAGGCGGTAACAGTTAACGACAATCAGAATATTCCACCAAAATCTGAAGCGGTTGTGTGGGCGAAAATGGCTGAAGGATGTGGGCCCTCCAACTTGTGGGTTGTAGAACCAACCAGCACCAATACCAATGTATTGGTGGGTAAAACGCTTGTTAAAACCAGAAGTGATGCGAGAATTCCAGTAAGAGTCTTGAATGAACTGAATACGCCAGTAACGCTTAAAAAGGGCGTAGTTATTGGACAATGTCATGCCGTGGAAGCGGTGATACTATGCGATGAGTCTCAAAACAAACCTGTCGCCATTCACCAGCAAATAAGTCCTGACCTTTTTTCGAGGTGTCTTGAAGATGTTAAAGGGAATGATAAAATGAAGGTCAAAAAGCTACTGCACAAATACTCTTCGATATTTGCTACTGAAGATAGCAAACCCGGAAGAACTGCCATCGTGAAGCATAGGATAGATACTGGCGGCGCGAAACCTATTCGGCAAACTCCACGTAGGGCCCCGCTTGCTAAACGAGAAGAGGCTAATCAAATAATAGATAAAATGCAGAAAAGTGGTGTAATTAAACCGTCAACGAGCCCGTGGAGCTCTCCAGTTGTACTAGTAAAGAAAAAGGACGGAACCACACGATTCTGCGTGGATTATCGGAAACTGAACGATATCACTAAAAAGGATAGCTATCCATTGCCTAGAATCGATGACACTTTAGACACACTATCTGGAGCGAAATGGTTTTCCACGTTAGATCTTCAAAGTGGTTATTGGCAAGTCGAAATTGAGGAGAAGGATCGTGAGAGGACGGCGTTCAGCATAGGCGATGGGCTATGGGAGTTCACAGTGATGCCGTTTGGATTATGTAATGCACCAGCAACGTTCGAGCGACTTATGGAGCAAGTGTTAAAGGGACTTCATTGGAAAACATGCCTGGTGTATCTCGACGATATTATTATCATGGGAAAAAGTGTTGATGACCACTTGAAAAATTTGGAGGAAGTCTTTCAACGAATCGCGGCAGCTGGATTACGCTTGAATCCCAGAAAATGCTCTTTGATGAAAACGCAAGTTACGTATCTCGGACATAAAGTGACGACGCAAGGCATTCATACCGATGAGGAAAAGATAAATGCAGTGAAAGATTGGCCTAGACCAACAAACATACATGAATTGCGAAGTTTCCTTGGCCTATGCACCTACTACCGTCGATTTGTCCTAGGATTCGCCAATATAGCAAGAAGTCTGCATGAGCTTACTCAAAAGAATAGAACATTCATGTGGCAAAACGATCAAGAGAAAGCTTTTCAACAATTGAAGCAAGCTCTTTGTACAGCACCAATGCTAGCATATCCAGTACCAGGGCAGGAATTTATTTTAGACACCGATGCGAGCGCTTACGGAATTGGCGGTGTTCTTTCCCAGCTTATCGATGGTCAAGAAAAAGTGGTGGCATATTTTAGCAGGATTCTTGGAAAGCCAGAAAGAAATTATTGTGTAACCCGAAAAGAGCTGCTGGCGGTAGTGGAATGTGTAAAACACTTTCATAAGTACTTGTATGGTCAAAGATTTCGTTTGAGAACAGACCACGCAGCGTTGAGATGGTTATTACAATTTAAAAGCCCAGAAGGACAAATCGCTCGATGGATAGAAAGGCTACAGAACTATGATTTCAAAATAGAGCACCGGAAGGGTGTCCAACATGGAAATGCTGATGCGTTATCGCGACGACCTTGTCAGTTAGAGTGTAAACATTGCAGTAAAAATGAATTAAAGGAAGGAATCGTTGATATTCGTTTGACAAGTTTACAACCAGCAGAAGATTGGAACCCAACCAATATAAGAAGCAGTCAACTAAAAGATCCTGATCTTACAATGTTACTAAAGTCCAAAGAAGAGCGATCACGGCCAACCAAGGAGCAGATATCCTCCGAAACCCCCACTGCAAAGGCATATTGGGCACAATGGGACAGCATCCATCTAGTCAATGGGGTCCTTCACCGTAGTTGGGAAAGTGAAGATGGCAAGCGTTCTCGACTCCTAATTATCGTTCCGAAATCCAAAATTGCAAATGTGTTAGAAGAGTTTCACGATGGGCCAAGTGGAGGGCACCTTGGAATCACAAAAACTTTAGACAAGATCAAACAGCGGTTCTATTGGGTTGGTTGCCGTGAATCGGTAACGGAGTGGATTCGAAATTGCTCAAATTGTATGGCAGCAAAAGGTCCTAAGGTAAAAAGCCGAGGTAAGCTGCATCAATATAACGTTGGAGCACCATTTGAACGAGTTGCCATGGATGTAGCGGGCCCATTTCCAACCAGTGATGCCGGGAACAAATATTTACTCGTTGTTATGGATTATTTTAGTAAGTGGCCAGAAGTATACGCTTTACCGAATCAAGAGGCAAAAACAGTAGCAGAAGTGTTTGTACAAAACTGGGTAACAAGATTCGGAGTCCCAATAGAGTTGCACTCCGACCAAGGTAGAAACTTCGAATCCACAATATTCCAAGAAATTTGTACAATGATGGGCATTAGAAAAACAAGGACAACGGCTCTGCATCCACAGTCAGACGGCATGGTAGAAAGATTCAATCGGACTCTAGAAGAACATTTGCGAAAAGTTATAAATAAATGCCAACGAAATTGGGACAAGCACATCCAAATGTTTTTGATGGCATATCGATCGGCTAAGCATGAGACAACGGGTCACACACCAGCGCGTGTGGTTTTTGGATCTGAATTGCGGCTTCCTTGCGACCTTAAGTTTGGAGCAACTAATGCGGTTGAGCACAGTGAAGAAAACTACTGCGATATGATGAAAAACGAAATGAATGAATTACACCAACAAGTAAGACAACACAGCCAGCTGATGAGTAATAAGATGAAAGATCGATTTGACCGAGCAGCAAATTCTGAGGGATTCGAAGAAGGCGATTTGGTGTTGCTATATAACCCCCAACGTAAGAAAGGTTTATCTACGAAATTACAAACATCTTGGGAAGGACCGTATATGATTATGAAACGGTTAAATGACGTTGTGTACCGTATCCAGCGTTATGGAACGACTTGTTGCAAAATGAAGGTAGTGCACCTGGAGAGGCTTGCTCCGTACGGTTCTAAAGGATTTGTGCCTGATCGGGTCGATCAGGCTTAAGTGGAAGGCAGTGTAACAAATCTAGTCTGGCAATAACATCGTACAACATGGCAACACGGCAACACGGCGAGTTGGCAAGAAAGGAGAAAATTACAAAACAGAAGAAAAGAAGATGTCTGCTGCTAGTCGGAGAGTAGTTGAGTTGTTGACAATCCCGCGATTCGAACGGAAGCCCAAAGATAATTTGTAAACCATACATAAGTTCATAAATATTTTTAATTTAATAATTTTAGTTATATTTATATATATTACGATTAATAAAAACGTAACAATAATAAAACGCATTTGATGTAATAATATATCGCATTCATAAAAAAAATTTTGTATACATTGTAAGTGATATATAAAATAGTATTCATATATTCATATTATATGTAATAAATTAATAAGGTTATTTTTGAAATGTTGGTAAGTTACCATTGAATTTATATAATCCTTTATATAATTCATTACAAATCTTGAAAAATAAAGAATTATTTCATTTTTCATTCTCTAAACGATATATTACATTTTTAAAACACATTCAATTGTATTTCCAGAGTATACTCAAAATATTAAAACTTGACAAAATATTCAACATAGCTAGCTAGAATCTGCATTTTGGTTAATTGAAATACATATATTTATTGTATTGCAATTTATCAATAGATAATAATGCTAGCCATCAACTAGAAAATACAACAGAACAAATACATACCGTATGATTGAGAGATATAAAATATTTGCCACATCTAGAACTGCATTGAAAATGACAACTAATCAGAGTTGGCAATGCGGCCAATAAGCAAGCTGACAGCAGGTTTTTTGTACGATAGGAAAGTGCATTATTTGTGTTTCAGTTATATTATTAAATTTTTTATTTTAATGTAATATGTATAATTCATGATGAGTAATACATCAGATTCAGGAGATAGTGTGAATTGTGAAAATAAAACTGTTAGGGAAAGTAATTTTTCAATTGTGGCATTAAATTCTTTAAAAGAATTCGATCAAGAACAGTTATTTCAATATGTCCAAACGCTTCAACCGCTCTACTTGAAGTGCAAGAAAAAATTACAAAATTTTAAAAACAGAGCCAAACTTCTGGTAAATAAAAATAATTATTTATTTAATATAATATGTGTACTATATTTTATGTTTTCTAAAGGAAAAAACAGTTCAACTTTTGAATGATGATAAACGCCAAAACGCTGGTGAAAACACAAATGAGGAAAATAAAGACTCCCTAACTCAAACTGAAGACGCGCAAAAACAACAAAAAGATGTTTGTAAGTAAAACCTTTAAGTAAATGTATGATCGAATAATATAGTAAAAATATATTAACAAATAGCAAATCGCATAACTGTAGGGATACTTTAGGGACTTTCTTCGATTATTGTATGTGTAACCTGTATTGGTCCGCCATCTCTGTGTCGGCTGAACTTGAAAAGGAGGTAATGGTTGTTGAGTGGCTTTAGTATGTAAACTTGGCCGATCTTGGATCCGGAACTAAATTTTAACTGTCACTATTCTATATTGAGTTAATTATGCTGCAAGTGTTGCAAATTTTGTTCCAGCAATGTTGTTGAAAGCTGAGACTGTTCTGAGACAAAATATTGTTTTTTTTGCATTAATATTACATATTACTAACATAATTAAACATGAGTTCAAATTACTGTTGTAATTTTTTACACTGATTTCTAGCAGTGTATATAAGGCAGTGTTATATATTTAGAAAAAAGTCAGTTTACTTGGGACTGTGTTGGTTGTAATTTTCTACCACAAATTTTCTGTATATGTCATGTCTTATCCACGTCTTATCCAGAACATAAAACTGGCTATACGTCCTAAAATATATATACTAAAATAAAAAAGATGGAACAGGGATAAAATTTGCAAGAGCTATCATTAAGATAGGTTATACATATTTTAAGATAATCTTTAGGTACTTGTTAAGATAAAATAGTACAGCTCTAAATGCGTGACAGCTCTAAATGATATTAGCGGCTCTCAGAGTATTGTAAAATACGACACTGCAGCAGAATGGTTTTAAAGGATGCTGCAGGACCAACAAATTAGACAGATGGAATGCAAATTTTTCCCTCGATAACGACAGCATCGATATTGGAATATCTAACGCAATTTTTATATTAACAAGTAAAAGTTAAGCACGTTGCTATGTACTGATCTCAATTGAGGTAGGACAGTACTTGCAATAAGGGAGTCATCGTTCTGCCTAAAAGCTGTTTAGTGGCGCTTGTTAAGAATTTTGTTTTTGCCAACCTTGGTCTTTAAGATGATATTGCAACTGTAAATTCTTGACCTCACGTTTATATGGTTGTGGTAACCCACTTGGAACTATTTGTGGCTTCTTGGGAGGTGTCGAACGGCAGTTGATCGTCGTTGGCAAAGAGTGGCTCTGTACATAGACCTGACCGTTCTCTTCTAAGTAGGCATGGTATCAGTCGAGGAGTGTTTATACTTGTAGAAGAAAAAAAAAACACTAACACTTCTTCTGCACTAGAATACATGTAGTTAAGAACAGCATTGGGTCCTACGACAATTATGCTTTTAATTTTCTTAAGGAAGTACACAATATAAGCTTAATCAGGTTTTGTGGTTAAAAGATTTTCGAAATGATTTTGAAAGTAATATCACTCAAGGTCTCGCGTCAAGAAGTATTATAACAACGGATCTGTGGAGTTCTAAATGAATTAATGAACTAAACTGCCACAATAACCTAACTCAACCTAAGCTATTAAAGTATTTTTAATATTTATTTTCTTAATAATCATATATTCATTTTTCAAGTATTAGCTATGAATTAAAATTACAGCCTTTACATATCTATCTTTGGTTATTCATTAACCGATTAAAGTCTGCCTTAAGTCCGCTCTTACGATTTTGATGAAATTTTAATGTATTTCTATTAGAGATCATTTTCCGCATTTTCCGACATAAAAAAACCATGATTTCAACCTCTGAAAAACTAACGTTAACCAGGTAAAAATTATGCTGTTCTATTTTTATGTTATAGGTTCATCCTTGCCCTTTACTATAAAAAAAAAATTTTTTTTATGATATCTTTTACTTAGATCGCACTAGCATAGTTGACGTGTCTACACTTTAACGGGTATTTAAATATCCACTATGCTAAAATGGGTTTAAAAAAACCGATATATATGATAGCATTTATTAAATTACACAAAGAATCAATAGAAAGAAAGAGAAGTATGAGTAGGTAAATGTTAACGATTTCCGTTAATATACCGTCTATATATTGTCTATAGACCATCTATGATTGTCAATCATTTGCTATAAAAAATTTCATTAGAAAAGGACAGTGATGCAACAACAACACACATTATGAAACCGGTTTCAGGTTTTTAGTAAAATGGACAATACTATTTGTATAAGCATAGCTGTGTTATAGTAAATCAGTTATTCATGGCTTGAAAATCTGTTTTATAGTTTCATGTGACTAACTATATTTTGTGTTATCTGCTTTCAGTTCGTATTCAAATACAGTTGTCTCGGTTATATTATATAGAATCCCAATTATTTAAAACATTGATACTTAAAACAAAAAATTATAATTTTAAAATATTTATTAGAGAAAAATCAACTTATGTACTAAGATTTCAGTATTCTAAAATAGGAATTATTTCTGACGACTGGCGACGGCAGCAACTAAAGCAGCTCCTCGTCCAGATCCATCCTCCGAAAGCATTATATCAAATTTAATGCCGGGGGTTACAAATTTACGCATAGTTACACGCATGTAAGCATCAAATTTCGGATGATGTTTATACACAGAACCATCCACACCTATGACAACGTTCGGTTCGTTGATTCTATTCACCAGTCCGGCTAAGCCTACAGCAACTAAATTAGCAGCTCGTTGCGCTACGCACTCACACATGAATCTTAATTTCTGGCAGTCTTCTATATTCACTTTTTCCGATCCAAAAAGTTCTTTTAGTATATTTTTCGTATTTGTAAAATCAGGAAAGGTGTCTGCCTCGATTCTAGATAACATTTCTGTTTTAAAACAACCCACTTCCTTGTTCAATACTTCCAAAATTTTGTTTTTATTTGCTGAGCGTAGAAACATAAGATTCTCTTTAGTGGCCTTATGCAGTGCAAGGCGTACAAGTTCTCCCAGATACATTCCTTTAAAAAAAGTAAAAATAATAATAATTGATTTATTAAAAGTATAATAAAATCTTAGCATTTTTGCAATGGGAATATTTTTCTAAGAGTTACATGATTTTGGCATGGAAATTTGAAACATATGCCTAAGGTTTAATGTCGCTTTCTGACTTTATCAGCTCATATCATATCATCATATCATATGCATATGTTATCACAACTAAACTACCATCACATATAGAAAATATTGAATAAAAACATTAGCTCATTAATGTTGTTTGACACACCTCAAAAATATAAACAATGCCATAAAGCTTTATTCGATATCTGTGGATAAGATCTTTAAAGATATGGATTCTTGGAATTATTTTTATAAATTGCACGTAATCCAATAATTCCATTGAAAAATATTTTTATGGGATTGATAAGGAAGGCAGTATCAAAACGCTACATTTTCTATGTTTTTATTATCTGCTCACTTTGTTTAGTTTTAGGATCTGTTTTTTTTAAATCTCTTTGATGCCCTACTAAGAGAAGTCCACGTTCTTTATGTAAAGTGCCTGAAGAATGATTTGATTTATAATTTGTAAGCATTCGTTTGTTGATGAATTTATGCACTTTCGATCTGAAATATACAGATTATATTAATAAAATCTTGGTGGATTAAGTGGAAAAACGTTAACAGAACATTTCAATTTGATGAAAAGGTTTAATAGTATGTAAAATTAGCTTAAATATATGTGTTCTTATAGGTCAATCTCCCCAAACAATGGGAATTATTTTGGGAACTTCAATTTGGTTTGTGTTAATATGTATAGTCAGAAGTTTTAGTATGGAATAATAAAGACCAACTTGATGGTACTAGGTTATGTTTTAAATATCTGCTGAGAAGTATGATCGATATATGACGAGCGTTGATTATGTTCCTAATACTGGTACATAACTTAGTAGAGGAAAAAAAACAGACTGTGATAACTGTTGGTTTTATATAATATAGAAAGTGGATTAGGTACGGTCATGAAGATTGTGTACTTTGTTTTTAATCCTAAGTTGTTGAAATAATGCCAACAACAGTAGGCATAATATCTGGATAATGAATAATGATATTGGATACCATACTATCCTTTAAGGATAATCTTTATGCATATTAATAAAAGCATATTCAGCCTGTGTTGCTTTCTCAATGATCAGCAAATAGAGTCCGAAAAAATAATATCCTTACAGCAGTAATAAAATCTTGGTGGTATTATTTACGGATAAGATCCTGAAGATAAATATCCCTGTAGTATTATCTAGGGACAAGATTCTTTAGATAAATATATGTAATTGAATTCCCATAAGGTGGGAATACTACATGCTATATAGCAATCTATAATAATTAACAACTATCAATGAAAAACAGTTTGCGATTATGTCACTTTATCTCACACTAATTTCTTAAACGGATATATAATTTCCAATATTGTATAATGTCTTGTCCCAATCATTTTTGATTCTCTTGCTTGCTGAAAATGTATAGGCTTTATCAAGCGAAATCTGAGTAATATATCTTAATTTGTGATAAACGGTATAAGTAGTGACATAGACATAGTGTAGTCCATTCAATTTTATACTGAATTTTTTAATGTCGGGAACCCATAGGTCTCGAATTATTACTATTAAATATCAATGAATAATATAGTTTTGTTGTTTCTGTATTTGGACAAAGAATTTGGTTTTTGAGACAGAACAAAAAATAAATATATAAATCAAATGAATGATGTAATTGTTAGGTTATGTTGTCGTTATTCACGATAATTTATGCAAACACTTTGGTTAAGAAGAGACCCATTGTGGTATGCAGTAACTTAGAATTTAAGGAATTCACAAAAAGCTTTAATCATTTTTAAAATGTATTTATCATGTGTCTTTGTAGCGTTAATATAAGTAGAGGCTGATGAATTATAGAATGATTTTGGGATCGTGGGAACTATTCAGCATGAAATTTTCATAATATAAAAGCTATGTTACTCATAAAGTAACATATTATATATTTAAAAATATTAAATATAATAATAAAAGGATATTTATATGGAACAATTTTTTAAATGCTAATTTCTTCCATTTTCAAATAGTCCTTTTAAATAGAGTAGGCTTTATACTCCCAATCACATTTCGTAGTACAGACTATGCAGAGTAGTTCAGAGT